GGAATGGATTTCTGTATCTTTAGCAAGGAGCTGGCTCTGGTCTGGGTGGCAGAAGCTGGAGCAGAGCCTCAGGAGGATCTTGGGGTGCTAGCACCCCACTTTCCTCCTCTTGCCCCTCTCCTACAGCTTCTGAGGACAGGAGTCCCTTGGGGGGGGGGGGGGATGGAGTTGCAAGTGCAGGTCATATAGAATCATAAAATAGTTTGGGTTGGAAAGGACCTTAAGATCATCCACTTCCAACCCCCATGCCATGCACAGGGACACTTCACACTTAAACCATGTCACCCAAGGCTCTGTCAAACCGGGCCTTCAACACTGCCAGGGATGGAGCATTCACAACTTCCCTGGGCAACCCATTCCAGTGCCTCACCACCCTAACAGGAAAGAATTTCCTCCTTATATCCAATCTAAACTTCCCCTGTTTAAGTTTGAACCTGTTACCCCTTGTCCTATCACTACAGTCCCTAATGAGGAGTCCCTCCCCAGCATCCTTATAGCCTCCCTTCAGATACTGGAAGGCTGCTATGAGGTCTCCACGCAGCCTTCTCTTCTCCAGGCTGAACAGCCCCAACTTTCTCAGCCTGTCTTCATATGGGAGGTGCTCCAGTCCCCTGATCATCCTCGTGGCCCTTCGTCGGCTTGTTCCAACAGTTCCATGTCCTTTCTGTGTTGAGGACACCAGAACTGCACACAGTACTCCAAGTGAGGTCTCACAAGAGCAGAGTAGCGGGGCAGGATCACCTCCTTCGACCTGCTGGTCACGCTCTGCCCACTGCGCAGATGGGATATGGTGAATGGAAGAAGTCTGGGTGCTCTTTGGGGAAAACCACCTTTTTAAACCTGTGAAATAATTGCAGAATAATGGATCATCTGGAGTCTTGTGAGAAATGGTTAGGCCTTCAGCACTTACTATTTTAGTTGTGGTCCATTGAGATCCATGGGGGAGGTAGCTCTAGGCTGGCTGCTGTGGCCCTCATGGGATGGGAAACCCCTCCCAGGCTCCGATTTCATAGAATCACAGAATGGTTGGGGTGGAAGGAACCTTGAAACTCACCCAGTTCCAGTCCACTGGCACAAGCCATGGCCCTGTCAAACCTGGCCTTGAACACCCTGAGCTTTAGCACCAGGTTTAGCAGGAGAGGGAGAAGGTGTTTTGCCAGCAAGATGTTTACTTATAATTTTAGGGGGGGAGTTGCAACCTATATTTTTCTCTATTTAAACACTGGGAACTGCATCATCATCACCACGCCATCAACCAATCCAAACAATAAAAGGGCTAGAAACAAAAATGCACAACTGTTGCTACAGCATCCATGAAGGTGAGTTGGATGGGCTGGTTTTAGTGGAGCCATTAGTGGGTTTTAGTTGTTAGCCATGGGAGCTGAAGGGAGAGGGTTTCTCTGATCTGCCCCGTATTTGAGAAACGACCTTTGAATAGGAACAGCACCCAAGTGTGACAGCAACCCATTGGTGTGCCCTGCATGGACGATGGAAACGGATCCAGTGGTCCTTGCATTGCCAAGTTCCCAGTGGGTTTTGGGTGGGAAGTTGCTTGTTGGAAGCTGGAGCTGTAGGAAGGTGCAGTGCAAGGACAAGGGGATGCCTTCAGCTCAGGTCTGAGCTGCTGACGTGCCCTGCTGTCACCCAGGGAGTAATTACTTCATCTAATGAGCATTGTTGCTCCTGGAGGCTGCAACCAGGAGCTACTACCTATCATCTATTAATTTCACAAAAAGGCTGAGAAGATGACACTTGGAAACATGTTGATGAGATATTAGCATATTCATAAATGAGCAAAACAAAAGCACAATTAGGGAGGGGAGAGGGAATCTGGAAATGGGGGTGGTGAAAACAGTGTGTGGTTCTCTGGTGAGGGCAAGGCAGGAGACGTAGAAAGGGATCACATTACCCGCAGTGCTGCTGCCCCAGCGGCTGCGGAATGGGATGTTCTGCACAGAGCTATGTGAACTATGTTTTTCTATATAAATAAAATATTTCTGAGATTAAATTGAGCCAAAAGGGGGTGGAGGAGGGGTGGAAAGCCTTTGGGGAAAATGGGGCTTGCTATTTTTGTAAATAAAACAAGTTATTCTCATCTTTCTTAAAAAGAGAATGGAAAAGGGGGGGAAAAGGCTTTTTGAATAGCATGTGCTGGCTGTATTTTCCCTTCCCTGCCACAGTAATATGGGAAGACAGAAATCCCTGGGTAAGCTGAAGGGTCTGAGGTGAGAAGATGAGAGGGGTGTTTGCAGCCCTCGCATGGAACACAAGTATCCTTCCTTTAAGGGCATCATCCCCCACCATGAAGTGCTTTTTCCGCATGGCAAGTGCATCTAGGATTTCTGCCTGTGCCTCAGCCCTGGCTGGCATGCGGTGCTGTAGCCAGAAACACATTATCCATGTCACAAGGTGGATGTGTTATGAATAAATGCAATATAGAGTCTGGAGTGGTCACCCAAAGAAGCCCCTCGGTGTGGTCTCAGCCCTGTTTCCCTCTGCTCTGTATCAGAGCTGCCTGCACAGCATCCTTCCTCTAGCAGAACCCAGCTCCCGGTGCCTCTGAAATTCCCCAAATCCACTTCAGGAGGGTGTGCCTTCCCTTCTGCAGATCTGAGGCTCGGGTGATGGGCTCAGTGACTTGAGGCACGTATGGAGGTGGGATGTCCATTGTTTTACATTACCTGTTCAGTGAGTGTGTTAGGGCAGAGGCTTTGCCTTGCTGCTTATACCACCCCCGGGTATAAGCAAGGCAAGGGGAAGTGGGGGCAAAGAAAAGGCACTGGGAATAGTTTCTGGTCCCCAGGCTCTTGTGAGGAATCTCTTTTCACCCTGGGATATCCCCAAAAATACCTACAGCCTCTTCATTGCATTGTAGGCAAAAGAGATTCATCCATTTTAAGCATCCTAGAGTAGGGCAGAGCAGGAAAGCAGAGCCCATGTGCCAGCCTTGTGGGCCTGCAGCTCTGCAGTGCTGGGGATGAGATGGAGTCTTTGGGTTTTGACACTGATGTAGAAACGAAGTGTGAATGTGCATGTGGATTTAGCCCATGCTGGGTTAATTTCTTGGACAAGCCTTCCTCTTAGAAACTCTCAGTATTCTGCAGAAGATGATGCCTGATTTGTGTTCTCCTTTGTAAATAAGGAACTTGTTCTCCTGGGGATTATATTTCTTTTTAAGTGAAGGTGATGGCTTATCCTCTCCCTTTATTCCTTCATTTGAGCAGTGATTTTCTCATAGTTCAGAGCGTTGGGTTTGGGTGGTTTTTTTTTAATGCCTGCTCTTTGCTGTTGTTGGGCAATACTGAGCTATAGTTCATGAGGGGTTTTAAAGCTGAGTAAAGCGGATGGACCCCCCGATGGGCTACTTCTTGCTGGCAGGAGCTTCTCTAAGGGGGTTTTGGGGAGGACAGGTGCAGCACTGCACCATCCAGTTTATTTCAAGACAAGAATGTTGGGGGGGGGGGTGCGGGTGTTCTTATTTTGTAGTTTTTCTTAGCCAAGGTGGCCTAATCTGCTACTTCTTGGCTTCTGAAAGGGTGAAAGGGAGTTTTGCTCATTCCAAACATCCTCAGAGCCTGAGCCACTGCTGTGCTTGTCTCAGCACTGCATTCCTCTCTTTTCCACTGCCTCCCTAAACACATCCTATCTCTCCAGAGCTTGATGGGAATAGATGGCAGCACGGTGTCTCAGGGAAGAGGGCAAGTGGGATAAAGAGCAGTCCTACCATAAATCTCATCCCATATATGCCCCAACAGTTTCCCAAGCTGGCTGTGTCTTGAAGATGCTTGTGTCTCGAAGATCCACTGCTTTATTCTGTTTTGACCCTGGCTTCAGCCACCTGACCAACACTAATATAATAAGAGATGAAAGGATGGGCTTAAAAGGAGTCTAATAAAAGGCCAGGAAGGAAAAGGAAAATGCATAACAATTACATTTCCTTTTGGGAAGTGGAGCTGGAGGCGATGTCCTCATTTCTCCTGACATTCTCAGGTGGTTGTTAAAAGTGCTGGCTGCATTTACTGCTCTTGCTGAAAATCAAGAGGTGATGCATCATGCAAATGCCGTGAGCTTTGATGTTCCCCAGGACTCTGAGTGAATGGCAAAGCCTGTTTCCCAGCCTGCATCATTGATTAACCCAAAGCAAACCACTGCCTGCATTTCGGGTGAGATCTGTTTGCATCCCATAGGGAATGATGCCTTCTGCTTGGTTGCCCTCCTTCTAGCAGTAAATGCTGCGCTGCTTCAGATTTAGCAAGGAGGTATCTTGGAGGATATTCCAATGAACCTCCCTATGCAAGAAAACTGTCAGTAATTAAGAGCAGGGACATAAACTGCTGCAAAATGGTGCACTCTACCTGTGCAGGGGTGCTGCTGCCTTCCCCACAATCCCTCCAGAAACTCGCTTGTCCCACCATCATGCCGAGGGTCTGTGGGAAGAAGCTTATCTACAGCCTCTGGGGTGATGGTGACCAGCACTGTGGATCTGCTGGGGTGCCCCAAACCTTTGCAACATCATTTAGTGCTGATTTATTGATCAGGGGCAGAAAGGGATGTGGGCTGGGGTGGTGCTGTGTGTGAAACAGGGCATCTCTCAGCACAGGAGTGTGCATGGTCAAAGGACCTTTCCACAGGTTCTCAGGCTGTGTTGGGTGGCGAAAGGAACACAATTAAATGGAAAAAAAAATGAAATTATAAACTTGTGTGCAGAAGCACCTGCAGGAAAAGGGACTGGTGATGGAGCAGCCCCATAACTGCCCCTGTCCCTGGCAAGGTGAAGGACTGATCCCCCAGCAGGGTGATGAAGGGAGGTTGGAGGAAGGGGCACAGGAGACCCGTTTATGCTGCTGGCTCTGGCTGCGGGGCAGCAGTATTTCAAAGGATGCCATGGCACCGGTTGAACTTCCATCCTCTCCCTTTACTCCCCCCATTCACTTGGGGAATTTGGGTTCCCTGCCTACAAACCAAGTGGCCAAAGTATGCCACGACCCAGAGTTTCCTCCGCAAAGGCCAAAATTCAGGTTTATTGTGGGCACCACATGCTCGCTCTCCATTGCCTGTCACCTGTCAGACCCACCATAATCCAGCCCATGGCAGTGGCATCTCTTTGACAGTGGCTGCTCTGCTGAGGAAGCATTTATAAATTAAGGATTTATTCTTTCTCCTCATCCTGCTAGGAGTCATCATAGAGAGGGTTGTTGTAGTTGCCCCAGGAGCCGTAGTCGTGGTCATCCAGAAGCCTGCCATAGGAGGAGTGCCTGCCAAGAGAAAGCAAACCACCCAGTGTTACCAGTTGCTTTGGTGGTTTGTTAGTCATTTAACCATGGGGTGAAAAAGAAATGCATGCAAGTCCTCACTAAGTTGAGCTGTGGGATATTTTAACAAGAACAGCAGTCCAGAAAATAAGCCCAGGTGAGATTTTGCCCCTGTTGAACCATACTGGGACATGCCAGGAAATTAAAACAGAGGGAACAATGCTGAGAGAGGGGACATTTAGACTAGATATAAAGAAGAAGTTCTTCCCTGTGAGGGTGCTGAGGCGCTGGCACAGGTTGCCCAGAGAAGCTGTGGCTGCCCCATCCCTGGCAGTGTTCAAGGCCAGGTTGGACAGCGCTTGAAGCAACCTGGTCTAGTGAAAGGTGTCGCTGCCCATGGCAGGGGGTTGGAGCTGGATGAGCTTTAAGATCCCTTCCAACCCAAACCAGTCTATAATTCTATGAAAACAAGACCTTTGCTGGTTTTGGTTGTCAGCAAAGCCTCATTACAGATGCTCAGCACTGGGCTGTGCTGCTGTTTATTGTCTAAATCACAGCAAGACCCATGGCAGCAGCTTGCCCCAGGGATAATTACTGGTTACAACTGTGCTGAAGAGCATCTCCAGCATTTGAGTGATGCTGCTATAAAATAAGAAAAACTCTGCTTTTCCATGTAGACAATGTGGAAAGTGGTAGTGGTAGACAATGCAGATGTGGCAGGTGTAGAGGCCGCATGTCACCCTGTGGGACTTGGGGACAGCATCTCACCAGGGCTTTACCCCTGAGCATCACCCTTGTGAGTGGAGCCTCGGAGGAAAGGAGGGTCCCAGTTCTATCCAGGCAGGCACCACAAAACCAACTTTACCTGATCTTGAGGTATGCTGCTGCCCCAAAAACCACCACCACCACCACGATGACTGTCACGGTTATGGCCACGATGCTCCCTGTGGAGAATCCATCAGAAACAACAGCACTCACCCCATCACCATTGCAACCACCCCACACCCCAGATGCTCCCGGTACACCTGTGCCAGCTATCTCTGGTGGGGGGCACATTCCCTTACTGCTTCCCAAAAGGATGGTGGCACCCCTATATTTTTGCTTCCCATAAAGGCAGGGCAGGTGGATTTTGGCTTTGGGCTTTGCTTGAGGACTGTGGACTTGCCTCTTGCTGCTCCTCCCAGCCTCAGACAGCATTTACTACTGTGCCAAGGGTAGAAAATGCTCCAGGTCCCTCAATTTTCTGATCTTATGATGCACTTTCAAGCTCTCTGAGCTTGTAGAAGAGAACAGGTGAAAGCTAGTGTCAGCTCACTGATGTCTCCAGGAGGGAGAAGTAAAACCTACGTTTTCCTAACTCAGCCAGCACCCACTACCCAGGCAGTTGTTTCCTCCCATCCTTAAGTGTTTCAAGTCAAATTTTCAAGTTAAGAACTGTATTCACATATCTGGGGAACTGGTTTGGTATCTATCACTCCTTGTCTCCGTCAGTGGAGCAGATGACATAGACTCCTCCAGGAAAGCTCAGCTATTGCTAAATGGTGCTCTCAGGAAGTTGGCCACCTCTTCCCTTCCAGTTCTGGGAGGGGGTCTGCCCCTCTTGTCTAAGCACCTTGAGGTGGACAGAAGGAGGTGATCCTGTTCCTCTGCTCTCGTGAGACCTCACTTGGAGTGTTGTGTGCAGTTCTGGTGTCCTCAGCATAAAAAGGACATGGAACTGTTGGAACAAGCCCACGAAGGGCCACGAGGATGATCAGGGGACTGGAGCACCTCCCGTATGAAGACAGGCTGAGAAAGTTGGGGCTGTTCAGCCTGAAGAAGAGAAGGCTGCATGGAGACCTCATAGCAGCCTTCCAGTATCTGAAGGGGGCCTATAGGGATGCTGGGGAGGGACTCTTCATTAGGGACTGTAGCAACAGGACATGTGATGGGTTTAAACTTAAACAGGGGAAGTTTAGATTGGGTATAAGGAAGAAGTTTTTTACTGTGAGGGTGGTGAGGCACTGGCATGGGTTGCCCAGGGAAGTTGTGAATGCTCCATCCCTGGTGGTGTTCAAGGCCAGGCTGGACAGAGCCTTGGGTGATATGGTCTAGTGTGAGGCATCCCTGCCCATGGCAGGGGATTGTAACTAGATGATCTTAAGGTCCTTTCCAACCCAAACCATTCTGCAATATGGAGGTGGTGGTGCTCACCTGCGCTCAAGGCACGCGGCACCTCTTCCATAGTGATTCCAGTGGAGAGGGTGGTTTTACCGGTGGCCATGGATTCCTCTGCTGCCATGGGGCTTGTCAGAGTCACTGGGGGTGATGTTTGCTCCACGGCCAGGCTTGACACCATGGGCAGTGTCCCTGGGGAAGGGACATCCTTGGTCAGCACAGGTGGCTGGGTTGTGGTGGGGCTCATGAGGACAGGTGTTGGGGACAAGCCTGTCGCAGGGTTGCTGGTGGGGAGGGAGGAAGAGGAGGCAGCTATACCCGTGGTGTTGGGAGCTGCCCCCAGATCCATCGTGCCTCTTGCCATGTCCGTAGTGTTTGCTGTCCGAAGACTTGGGGTTGTCTCCAAGGTCGTTGGCATGGAGATAGGGTTGGAGACTACAGCTGACTTGTCTGCTATGGTGGTGGCGACAGGCACAGTGACGGAGGCAGGAGCAGGGGACAGTGCTGCTGAAGGGGTGGATGAGGATGAAGGCCTTTCTTCAGTGGGTTCCATGGACATGGGCTGGCTAGGAGCTGATGTGGGGAGAGCTGCATCCCTGGAGCCCGGTGCCACTGGGATCCCCTCTGAGAGGAAGGGAGGGCTGGTAAGGGTGAGGGGTGATGGTGTGGAGTCATCACCCAGCCCTAGGAATGAGACAAAGGCATATGAATAACCAGGAAATCCTTGGGCAACTCAGGGTTTTAGGATGAAGCTGGAAATATGTTTATTGTTACGTAAAATACCAAGAGCCATATAAAAGAGATGGGAAATTATCTGCATAGCTAGGGGTGAGGTTTAAACCAGACCACTTCCCCAGCATGGGTCAGCACTGGTTTTCCCCAGGGTTAGGATCCCCCTATTCCCCAGCATCCCCTACAGCTTCCCAGCATCTCCTCCCAATAGCCAGCACAGCAGCAGGGGAGTAAGCACCTCCTCGGCAGCAAGCACAGCACAGCTGGGAATAACACAAGACTCCTCTTTCTCTTTTCCCCCCGTTTCCTTGTGCATTCATTCATTCGTCTCTGTTTCTTAGCATGAAGATGAGTCATTTTTCCCTCTGACCCCACCAGCAGATTGCTGGGGCATTCCCCTCCCCCTCTTTCTGCTCTCCAGGATTAAACTCAGCACTGGGCCAGCACTAGCAGCTAGCTCCCTTGGCACAGCTGGGCACAGGGAAGAACTCGCCAACACTAAATGACATCAGGAAGGATTTTTATTCCCATGCATTCACTTATTTACACCCCCAGAGCATCCCAAGCCCAGCACTGGGAAGAGCAAGAACTTGCTCTGGTGCAAACAAGCCACGATGAGAGGGACTTCACATGGGCATGTAGTGACAGAACAAGGGGGAATGGATTTAAACTGCCAGAGGGGAGATTGAGATGAAATCTTAGGCAGAAGTTCTTCTCTGTGAGGGTGATGAGGCACTGGCACAGGTTGCCCAGAGAAGCTATGGCTGCCCCATCCCTGGCAGTGTTCAAGGCCAGGCTGGACAGGGCTTGGAGCAACCTGGTCTAGTGGAAAGTGTCCCTGCCTGTGGCAGGGGGTTGGAGCTGGATGAGCTTTAAGATCCCTTCCAATTTTGAGTGTGGTGGACAAAAAAAACTTCAGCAAAATGCTGGTTTGTGGGAATACTGAAGCCAAACTCTCACTCCAGTTCCAGAGACAGCAGCTTGGTACTTATCTAAGTGTGAAAAGACAGCAGTGAGTGCACAAACAGCTATCATGGTAGCATTTTGTGAGTAGGAGCTTGCAGATCATACATGGCTGGGTACCACTGGTGAGCACACAAGGGTCTCCTCCCTGCCACCAAGCCACCTCCCAAGGAGTTGTCAGCTACCACAGCCAAATCTGATGTCCCCCAAAAGTCAAACTGAAACGCTACCCATGCAGGTGACACCCAGCAAGAAGTGACCCAAGCTGCACTAGAGATGTGTTTTCAATCTAACAGGGTTGGTCCTGTCCCACTATGCAGCTGTTTCAAGAAACGGCAGCATGGGAGGGACTCAAATATGAGAGCAGGGGCTGGGCAACACATGGTTCCTTCAGCAAAGCTCCTTGCTGTCAAGCACCCAGGAGAGCCACAAGGCTCCCAGGACACTGACCGCACCTCATGCTGAAGGAGAGATGGAAACACTTAGTGCCTGTGTATAGAAGTGGTGGGATCCAGCATCAATGAACAGGGACTCAGTAACTCATAGTTTTGGGTTTTTTCAGCCATGAGTGCCAACAGAAGACTGCAGGTGTCTAATATGGTTTCACTCAACCTGCACAGCTCCAGCGGAAGGAACATCTCAGATGAGGATCTCCAGCTCACTGCAGCAAGCACTGGGTATGTAACACCTCTAATGAAGGCGTTTTTTGTCTAGGAACTGCAAACACATGTTTGGCCAGGGATTTAAAGCCAGCTCTGGGGCATGGCTTCTGCTAGAGCCCATGGCAAGTCCCTGGCACACTTGACCCCATATTTTTTTTTCTGGTGCTATAGAGACACTGATGGGTATCTGCATTTGCCAAGCAGCAGGGTCTAATGCCTCAAGTGCTCTTCTCCTAGGGACGCATACTTGGACATGCCTCTGAGCTTTCATTGTCCTCAGGCTCTCGGTCTGCTGAGGCCCAAGACTGACAGACCTTAAAATAAGGGAGGGGAGATGGATGACAAGCTGGAATCTGGTTACCAAATAAGCCACCAGGCTCAGCACCCATGGTTTCCACACCCAGCCCAACCACAGCGGCAGGGAAGCACCCAGACATCCCCCCTACTCCTTCCCAAAGCACACCAGGCTTCTGCAAAGCTTCTGCTGTCATCAAGGCACTGATGTTTCCTCATCCCAAGACCTCACATCTCAGGCTTCCTAGGTAATAACTGGGAGTTACTGGCATGTGAACTTGAGCTGCACTGCTGTGATAATCCTGAGCTTAAAAGCCATTAGTGCAGACGAATGCTCTGGTTTTCACAGCTTGGCTTTACCCACAGCATCTCATCAGGAGAAAGCCTGCCCACAGCACTGGCTCCCTCCAACAAACCCAGTGGGTCCCTGCTCCTCCTGCCCCCTCCTTCTCCAGAAGCTGGTGGCTCCCTTGCTCAGTTCAGGCATTGCAACACCATAAACCAAAACCGGATGATCTTAAGGTCCTTTCCAACCCTAACCATTCTATGATTTGCCATGCCATATAGGTGGCAGAGTACGAGGAAGGAATGATGCAAAATCTCCATCTCCTTTTTGAAGGGAAAGAAGGTGCAAATGCCCTTTCTAGCAGGTAGTGTTAGCCCACAACATGGCAAGAGCTGAAGGTACCACCAGCCATAATCCCAGGAAAGCACAGCCTACTTGTTGTCATGGCTGAGGGTGGGACATGAAATTGCTGCCTGGATTCATGAGGATCAATGAGCAACAGGGTCTTTCTCAAGGTTTTAACACCATACAGCCATGCTGGGCAATACACAAGAGATGGTCTCTGCTGGAGAGCAGAAGGTCTGCTTTAGAGATGCATGTGTGGAAAGGCATATCAGCAATGCATCTTGATATAAAAAGCTTCTGACCTCAGAAAATTGGATTATTTCCCCCACCCAACACAAGCTACACCATCACTAAGTCAGCCTGTCCCATCAGCAGTGGCACAAGGTGCCATTGCTGCAAGTGCTATGACAGCAGCAAACCCCTCATCCTCTGCAGTGCTGCCTGAAGGTGCCCAGCTGACCTGGCATCCCCTTGCTAATGCTCGCAGCTCATGCATGCCCCAAACACAGCACTCAACTGTTTTAAGATGTCTGCACTGGAGATGGTTAAGTCAAGGCAGAAATCAGATGTCATGTGGTAGCAGAAGGTGCTGGAAGAGCTGAAAAACCCACATCAAACATCCCTTCACTCTTAATGCTCTGCAGATCAGGGTTCAACATGTTTCAAGGCCAGGTTAGCCAGAGCCTTGGGCGACAAGGTCTAGTGTGAGGTGTCCCTGCCCATGGCAGAGGGTTGGAACTGGGTGATCTTAAGGTCCTTTTCCAACCCTAACCATTCTGTGAGTCTATCTATCTGTATTTCTGTAAAATAATCTTCTCTCCCCCACACTCGACACTGCAGATGTGACTTGTCCAACAGGTAGCAGACAGCCTCTGAAGCCCATAGCACAACACACTGCTGTTACATCAAGCCCATCAGAACCCTCCCAGGGCTGTTAGCACCTTGAACATTTATCACCTGTCTAAATGTGGATGCTTCCAGTCTTTTGGACACCAAGATCAGATCTTTGCAAATCCACCCTGGCATCCCATGTTGCTTGCTTGTGCTTTGGGCCAGCAGAGCTCTCATGAGCTGCTTGGACATTGGAGGCAAGCCAATAGGGACCTCAAAAAGCTGGCAGTGCTGCTAGCCAGGGTGAGTCAGGAAGTTTCCAATAACATCTAAGGGGTATAAACTGAGAAGGTGAGCCAAAACTGGATGCAGGAACAATCCTTGGCCGCTGGCTGAGTGCTCCCAGCCAAGTCACAAATCACAGGGACATCTCCCAGGAAAGTAAGCACAGCCAAAGGCTACTCCTCCCAAAGGCAATGCAGGCTGCTTCTAACCCAGGTAAGGATGAAGGGACAAAGATGACCTGGCTGAGAGCTCCAAATGTCCTCATGCCACTGCTCATGGGCAGCCTGCCCCACAGGTTGGTGTTGCCTGTCCCCAGGGAGATGATGGCCAGAAGAACACCCAGCTTGTCTGCAAGCCCATTCCATTACCAACACATCTGCAAAAGGAAAGAAGAGCTTCTTTGTCCAGCACCTGGACTGTAGGAGGAGCAGCTGTGAACCAGAACAATGCATTGGAATAAGGGACAAAGAAAGTGACTAGAAAAAGTTATTTTACGACCACATGGCTTCAAAGGCTAAAAAAGCCCCAAACAGGGGTTGTCAGAGGGACTGGAGGATGTTAGCTGTCAAAGGATGCCAAACATAGTTTGGCCATGAGGAATTTGCCCATTGCCTAATTAACTTAAGGCAGTTGACCACCCTGCTGGAATCCAGCTTAGAGGAGAGGCAGACAGAGAACTGCCAGGGCAAGGTAAGCAACTAGAATAACAGTAGTGTCACACTTCACAGCCCCACATGAAAGGTCCTTTTTCTAGCTTGTCTTCTCTAGCAGTATGGAAAAGAGCCAAGAACATAAAACCCAAACCCCTGTAATTCAAACACCTTGCTTTTAAGGAATACTAGCCCTAACCACCTGCCAACCCAAGGAATGAACCCTCCCCCGATGGGTTATCTCCCTCCCTTATTTGCATGCTCTTCTCCTGGCTTCTGAAAGCCACAGAAAGGTGAAGGTCTCAGTCTTGCAGAAGCTGAATGCTTGGGAAACAGCTGCCTGGCTTGGCAGCCTCTCCAGCAATGCATTTCTTAAGCACTCCACAAGCAATCACAGTAAAGCTTTAAAATTGTTTTGCCAGCTGAAACAGCATAACCCCCCCCCCGAACACATCTCTAGCCTAAGTGAATGACATCACATAGAGCAGCCATTCCACAGCAAACAAACATCCACTGATAAAGCAAAAATGGAGCTTTTAACAAGCTTCACTTCATAACTCATCTCAGCTGATATAACTGTCAGAAGCACCAGATGATCTAACCCACACACCACATGCCTGCTCTCAGCCTGAATTAGCTGAGGCACCCATACCCCGGCTGCCAAAGGTAGTGCTCCTCTAAATACCAAAGCCCCAAGGATAAAGGTTTCTGTAACATCAGTATTATTCAGATAAGTTATGCTATTTTCCAAACCAGAAATCCCTAGTAACCTCATTATATACCCACAAGATCTAGCTAGGTAAGATAAAAAAGGGTATTGATACTACCCTATCCTCTGCTATGTGGATATTAAGGAGCATATTAAGTTTAAAACTAGCATGAGAAACAACTGGAAGCAGCATCAGAACATCAGCCCAAAATGAAAAAGAAGGGATTAGAGACAACCTACACACAACACAGGTCCAAGAATCACCCAAACCTACAGACACATTTATCTACCACACAGTTGAGACAAGAAGCTAGGAGCCAAGCCTGAGTCCAAATAGAGGTCCTGGCCCAATGGGCAGAGGGGTACTGGTGGGGGGGTCCCAGGTGAGTCTCACCGGGGTGATTAGGGACTATGACATAAAAGCTGGTGGCTGAAGCTCTGTCCTTTCTGTATTAGTAAGGTAATGGGATAAAACATGGGAGATAATTGATGAGCAATGGTACTCATAGAGGAAAGCATGTGCAGAGGAGTGAGTTTCTCTTTTAACAGTTTTAGAAGAGCACCTGGACCCTAAATGCCAAAGTAAACTAGTATCTTTTACTCAGGGTGATGTTTTTGGTGGTGTACAATCTTCTTTGACCTTGTTCAGGTCTTACATTTTCCTGGTTCTCCCCAAATAATGATGATAGAGTAACTCTAACTCCTCTGGTCCTGCAGCATGTGTTGGTTTATTACCAGGGTCAATGATGCAGAGCAGTAAAACAATTTATGTTTAAATATAGGGTGAGGACTTCCTGTTCATGACCTTGCTGGCTTGGTTTTGGTTTCTGCGGCTGGGAATTCTCAAACCTTGTGCTGTTCTTCTGCAGTTCCCTCCCCTCTTGTTCCTGATCAGGTGTAACTTTAATTGTTATTGCTTCTCAGCTATAAAATTGCCAGTATCTAGCTGTGGGTGGCAAAAGGTCTTCTTGTGGTGACTAAGGTTAAATAAAACCAGTTGTTGCTTTGGGGTAAACTTGTTCTTCAAGCTGTTCAGCACTGGGCTGCGTCACCTTCTCTATCACTATATGATCTGGGCTTTGGTGGCTTTCATGTCTCTTCTCTCTAATTGGAGAGCCTCATCTGCACTACACAAGGGTCTGATTAAGCTCTTTACTGATAGGGGAGAAGCAATAGGGAGGATGTGGTGGTAGTTTTGGACTTTAACCTTGGGTCTGTGCCCTTTTAGGGCACTGTTGGAGGGCCCTGCCTTTTTATGTCTGAGAAATAAGGATGATGGGATGGGGTGGTCTGGGAGCAGCTCTGCGGGGTCTAAGCAGTGTATCAAGACCCCACAGGCTTTCCATGCTACCCCAGAGGGAGCACCTTGTTAGGCTGGTACTGGGAAATGGTAACTCTTGGTGCCATCTCTGTCTGCTGTTGAGCTTCAGTGAGTAAATCAGGGCCAACAAGGTGGGTCTCCAGGTCTGTAGCAAAGCTCCACCACTGCATATGTGTGCTAGTGACCTAGAATGCTAGTAGGAGCAAGAGCACCCCTGGGTGATGTGCTGCTTCCTTGCTGCCTGCTTGGTTCCTGCTGTATCCCCTTTCTTTTCCATGCCAGGTTGTGTTGGTATAAAACCAGTTGTCAGAGGAGGAAGCAACCGAGTGAGAAAACCAGGGGCCAGAAACATCAACAGGTAAAAGGCAAAGGCACTCCAGAAGCTGCATAAAGAAGCCAAGGCCATCAGATCAAATAAATCTGCATTTGCTCTGATTTGCTGGCAAGCCAGGCTGGCTTCCTGCATGATTAGTTTTCTTCTGCTGCATGGCAGTTAAGTGGTTTAGGTCTAATTGCTCAGGAGCCTGAAGCTTTCTGTAGCCCAGAGGAACAGCTACGCAATGGAAATGGATATGCTATTTCCATGTGTCCCTCACTATCCAGAAGCCCCATCCCTGGGGATGATGCTGTCTCAAACATGCAACTCACCAGGACACCTTGGGAATGTCCCTTGGAACCTCCCCTTGAGGGTGCAGACCCCCTGGCGGTTGCTGCTGAGCAAACCCATCTGCACACACCTCTGTGGATGGTGGGGTTGTACCCACATCTCCTGTAGATGTATGTCCTGCTTTTTGCAAAAGGCAAGAGCAGAATCCATATGTGGCCAGACACGTAAAGCTGGGGGCTTCAGGCAAGCTGTCATGGAGAGGGTCCAAGCAAGGTCTTCACTGGCTGTTGGGTTTTGGCCTGGCTTGGGAGTTGCTCTTTTCCAGGCTATTGCATAGGAGGAAGGAGCTAACACATGGACCTGGCTCGATCCTGAACACTTTTCAGACCCTGAGGAAAGCTGTGGCAGGCAGATTGCTCTTGAGGAACCAGATAGACAGCTTCACCACCCCGCAGCCTCTGCTCCTCAGAGCTAAAAATGGTAATGCCAACTTGTAAAGTAGAGATGGTTGCTTGCATGGTTCCTATCACGTGCTCTTCCTCTGCCTGGGGTGAGTGTTCACATCCTCCCCAGGCAACTCTCTGCCCTAATGTCCAAACCCAGCAGCAAGCGCTGTTGGTTGTACAACAAACCCATTTTCTACAACAGCTGTGGAGCTGGGTGGCCCCACCACCCTCCACACAACTAAACCATTATGTTCCCACCTCAACACTATGTGTTGCTTCATTATTCTACTCATGAAGTCCTTGATCCTGAAGCTGCAACAACATTACGGCAGAAAAAAGATGAGGAGGAGTCTTCACAGCTTTTTTCTCCTTCTGAGAGTGACTTGTGGCTACTGGTCAACTGATGCAGCCAGAGGTGACTGATGAGGGCCTGGGGTGGAAAGCCTCTGTGTTCCTGAAGAATCCCTGCTGGCAAGGCCTGTGTCCCCACTGGGGTGGGCTGGCAGGCTGTCACCTCGCATGGTGGCTTTAGCTGATTGCTGGGAGCTTTTGCCCTCATTAAGAGCAGTAGCTGACAGCACCAACTTATTCTAAAATGACTTTTGCTTGATATAAATAAAACATACTTTAATACTGCATGTTATATTTTTGGAACATGCAGATATGTGTTATGCCGTGCTTATTTCCCTGGGATGTTACATCATAGGATGAGAAACCACTTGTCAGCTCTTGGGGCTGATAACTGGCAGATGAGCCTACATGCCGTAGGCTTGGGCCCTCTCACAATGTCTTTTCCCAAGTGGATATCTTTGATATGGTTCTTGAGCTGGCCAGGCCTGTGTCAAAGAGCAGGTCTGCCCAAGTGACAATGCACCAGCTAAATAATTTTCCTGACTAGCTGCTACTTATCGCTTCTAGGAGCAGCTGTCAGCAGCATCAGCCCCATCCCAGCCTTCTTCAGGAGGGGAAGTAACTGGGTTCAGCAGAGGAACTTTTGGGCATCCTCTGCTGTAGAGGCCAAAGCTGTAGTTCGCTCATTTAGGCTGGGAGAGGAGATAATTGATTACCCATCTCCCCTCTCCTTCAGCTCATATATTGGGAAGTGGGGCTGGGAGCGCTCAAAGCTCCATCTCCTTCACGGCACCTCAGAGCAGCCCATGGTGCCAGGCTCAGAGACCCCCCCAAGAAGCAGCTTTTCTTCCCCGGAGGCTCCTTGCAGAAGCACCAAAACCTTTAAAGCTGAAAGCTGCCTCTTGCAAGTACCTTAAAATGTCTCAGCTGCTCAGAGCAAAGCAAATTGCTAAAGGGGAAAATGGGCCTGGGGCTGGGCATTACGTCAGGGCAGCAAAGCAGGTTTGAAATGACATCCAGAGTGAGAAGTAATAACAGGATGAAAACTTCCTTGTGTGAGATGCTATTATTTCATTACATGGCCAGGCAAAGCCCAGTCTTATTTTAGTCCTGCCCAGTGACGTCCTCTCTACCACTCAGTCTCAAAAAATGAGCTCGAAGCGTATTTAAATCATGCTTATTGTTTTCTCATGGGTGATAAATATAGATTTTAAGCATTATTTATATGGGGACAAAAAAAAAGTCATAGAAAGCATCTGAAGGATCTGGGGCTCGGAGAGTGTTTGGGAGCAGCCTGAGAGCCACAGGGTTGTACTCCAGGGAAATTTTTCCTGGGTCTTTTGCCAAGCTTTGCTGGTGTTGGTGCTTTAGAGAGGGATGGTCGTGGGAACAGCTTTGGGTTTGGCCTGGGTGCTGGGAAAAACCCGCCTCCAACCCCAAAGTGGTCAAGGGCTGACTCCCAGCCGAGGCTTGTGAAAGCAGTGACCAAACTGGGGCCACTGTGAAGGAGGCAAGCAGCATCCCTGTGGAGTAAAATGTAGGCTCATCCCCTTCCCTCGCAAATGCACTTGCTGGGAAAGCACAGAAACAAGAGCTTGTGCAAAGTCCCCTTTTCCGAGGAGAAGGATATAGCCAGCTCTCCCTCCTCTTCCACTAGCAGGGTCCCTCAACAAGGGAAGGAGATATCGCCCAGGATGATGGTTTGCTGCTCCTGCAGACGTGGCCTCCCCAGCTGCTGTTTTGGGGATGTCACGTCAATCTGCTGCAAGCAAGAGCAATTTAATAACAACAGTTTTGCTTAATGCTTTTCTCCTTGTGTGTGTCCCCATCACCTGGTTATGCAAGTGTGTTTTCCATGTTTCTGAGCGAGCAGCTCTCCTTGTTTATTAAAACCCCAGCCTGGACAGAAGGGATGACCTGTGCATGCTGTCATTTGAAAGCAGTCACTGTCATGCCAGCCAGGGACCAAGCTGTCTCCCCTGCCTGTCTACTAGGGGGAAGGATGCTGAATTGGGTGTTTCTGTGGGACAGGGGAGGTTGATATTGCTGGGGGGAAGATGCCTTTAGCTGGTCGCTGGGTGTGCAGAAACCTCTGCTCAAGGCCAGAGTGAGAGATAAAAGCTCCTTCAAAGCAGTGACCATGCTAGGAAGGGGGCTGCAAGGCTGAGGGGGGTTGAGCTCCAGCCGGGCAGGGAGAGCTCCCCGAGAGGAGATGCTGGGGTCCCCTGAAGTTGTCCCCCTGCCAGCCGAGGACTCCTCTACAGGGCTGGTGCGAAGCAAAGAGGGGCGAAACCCGGCCCCTCACCCGGCCTCTCTGGTGTCGGGGCGCCTGTGGGCACGGGTGGCACGAATGGGACCGGTGCGGGGGGAGCATCCTGTCTCCGCCAGGACGCTGTCCCCGGCGAGGAGGGGGCTGCCTTCCCCCTGTCCCTATCGCAGTGGTCCCCGGTTCCCCCCCCCCCCGTGCTATCCCAGTGCGGCGGCGGGCGCTTACCTGAAGGGAGGAGGAGGAGGGCGAGGAGGAAGCGGCAGCAGCAGCCCATGGTGCCGGCGGCGCTGGCAGCCGCGGCGGGAGGGACGGACGCACCGCCCGCTCCCGGTACCCGCCCGCTGCCGGCCCGGGGCCGGCCCCCCTGGCACCGCCCCGCTCCAGCGCCGGACGCACAGCGGCACCTGCCGGCACCGGGCACCGCGCCGGGGGAGCGAGTGCCAGGGGAGCAGCAGCGCTAGCAGGGACCGACTCCGGGCAGCCCACACTGGGCACGGGCGCTGGGATGCGTGCGGGGATTGGCTTTCCTAGGGCCATGCGGGCTCCGGGTGCGATGGGATAGGATAGGACAAGACAGGACTGGTCAGGACAGGACATGATAGGGTAGGATATAAATAATAAAGTAGGATGGAATAGAGTGGAATGGGACAGAACGGGACAGAATGGGAGAGGAGAGCGAGAGGGGAGGGGAGGGGAGGGGAGGGGAGAGGAAAGGGAATACAAGGATAGGATAAGATTTGATGGAATGGGATCGAATGGGACAGGATAGGATAGGATACGATAGGATAGGATAGGTTACAGTAGGATACGATAGGAAATATTAGAACAGGATAGGGTGGAATTGAATGGAATGGGCTAGAATGGAAAAGGATAGGAGAGGAGAGCTTAGAGAATAGTAGAATAGGATGGGAGAGGATGGAATGGAATGGGCTAGAATGAGCAAGAATTGGAAAATATAAAATAGGAAATATTATAATAGGATGGAATGGGACAGGACAGGATAGGATAGGATGGCAAATAATATAATAGGATGGAATGGGGTGGAATGAAATAGGATAGGATATAAAAGGATAGGATAGCATAGAAAATAATAGAATAGGATGAGATAGCATAAAATGGAATAGAATGAAGTGGAATACAATATATTAGATTAGCATAGAAGAGAACATGACCAGATAGAGCAGAATGAGAGGGGATAGGATAGCATAGGATAGCATAGAAAATAAGGGAGACGACAGGAGACGAAGGAAGGGAAGGGAAACGGAAACGGAAAGAGAAAGTGAAAGGAAACGGAAAGGGAAGGGAAAGGCACCCTGCTATGGCTGGATGGGGTTTCTCCATGTGCTCACTGAGCATCACACACCACATCAGGGGGGGTCCTGGGGCTGTGGCAGGGGACACTCTGGGTATATGCATCAAGAGGAGCCAAGCCAGAGCCATGCAGCCAGGTTCCTGCTTTTCCACAGCACGAGCAGCACTCAAAATGCAGCTCACAATGCCCAGAGAACTCATCCTGGGGACCCCCTTGACACAGTGGAGGTACAAGTACCATGGTTCTACCCGTTTCCCTCTGGAAAGAGCTTTGCTGCGGGTGGAATATTTTCAGGGTGAACTTATGAGCTTTCTCGTGCTCACTCTGGGAACGAATGTCATCGAAGCCAGGCCTGGGGTTATGGAGCCATCCATCTATTGCATTGTGTGGCGTTTTCTCGGGATGGATCTTGGCTCTAGGCCTAAAACAGCAGGACACAAGATCCAAGTCAGATGGTGTTTCTGGAGTGGCCAGCATGCCAGCTGCCTTTGGCATACATTGGACAGCATCTCAGCTCCCCTTTAAACCTTTCCTCTGCTTGGGAGGTGGGAAAGTAACTCTGGTACAGCTGCAGGAATGCAGAAGCTGCGTGATTCCACTGCTGCTGGTCTCCCAGCCCTTGCTTGAGCTTTGCTTTGCAGAAGGTGCCGCATGTTCCCATGGGCAGGAGGAGGTTTCTGAGGAGAGGGCAGGGCTGGACACACACACCGCTTCCCACAATGGCATTGGGTGTCGGAGTCATGGTCACATCTGCCTGATCACCTCTGCCTGGTCTCAGCATGGCCCCATCTGCCTGGAATCATCAACATGGTGACCTCAGGAGGGCCATACCTGCATGGTCACGTCTGCCTGGTCTCATTAGCACAGGCACATTTGTCAGCCACCCCTGCCTCATCTCAGCAGCACAGTCACCTCAGCAGGGCCACCTCTGCCTGGTTTCATCTGCCTGGCCTCATCATCATGGCCACCTCATTTAGCCACTTCTGCCTTGCTACCTCTGCATATCACATGTACCTGATCAGCCCTCTCTGGTCTCATCAGCATGGTCACATCTGCCTGGTCACCTTTGCCTGGTTCATTGGCATGGTGACATCTGCTGATCATCCTTTCTTGGTCTCATCAGCATGGTCACCCCAGCAGAGCCACCTCTGCCTGCCTGGTTACTTCTGCCTCATCATATCAGCATGGCTACCTCTGCCTGGCCTCATTGGCAGGGCCCCACCTGCCTGGTCACCATGGGATGGCTAGCTCTGCCTGGCCACACGGGTCCCGGGCCCCCCCCCCAGGGCAGATATGATACTCAGAGTGACAGTGAGGGCAGAAGACATAGGCCCAGCAAGATGTCCCTTTTTGGAGATATCTTCTGCCAGCCCTTGCTCATTCCTACTTGTCGTGGTTTAACCCCAGCCAGACAGCTTGTGCACTCACTCCCCCCCTCTTCTTGCTCTCCCCCTACTCCTGGAGGGACGGAGAGGAGAATCGAAAAGAAATGCAACTCCCACAGGTTGAGATAAGAACAGTTTAGTAACTAATGTATAACACAAATCACTACTGCTGCCACCAATAATAGTAATGAGAAAGGAAATAACAAGGGAAGAGAATACAAGACCTCATCACCAGGTGAACGATAACTCGCTCCCCCAGCCCGACCAAGCACTGACAGATACCTCCTCCAACCCTGCTGTCCCCCTAGCCCTTCTGGGTCCCTCCCAATTACCCCCTGGGCATGACGTGCTGTGGTATGGAATACCTCTTTGGTCAGTTTGGGTCAGGTGTCCTGTCTCTGCTTCCTCCCGGCTTCCCCTCCTCCCTGGCAGAGCATGAGGCTCACAAAGTCCTTGGCCAAACCAAAACATCATTGTTATCAGCTCTGTTCCCAGCTGAAAGTCAAAACACAGCACTGCACCAGCTACCAAGAAGGAGAAAAAATGACTGCCGCTGCTAAACCCAGGACACTACTGGAGAAGGGAAACCACTGCCTCTGGTGACATCTGCCTTGGGGCTCCAGCTCTCTTAAAAGTTCTTTAAAATGCTTTTCCTCCTCAATGTTATCCAGATGTGAAGGATGACAAAGGAAGATCATTTGCCAGAGTGACAGGAGCTCACTCACCCCTTGGCCAGCTTTTTGTGGCCACAAGGATTTTGCTGCCTGCTCTTCCCCTTCACCTGCCCCATGGGGATGAAGCCGGCTCCTCTTGGGTGTCCCATCTCACATCCCAGTGCCAGATGCTGGTTTCCCTCATCCTGCCCAAGTCCCTACTGTCCCCAGCGGAGCTTTGCAATGTTTCTCTAGTGGTTTATCACACCCTGCCTGCTTCTGGAGGGCTGGGGTCTTCCCCAGCCAGGAACTGGGGTGTCCACAAGCAAAGGGTTGTCAGCACCGGCATGCTGGAGTGTGCAAATGGTTTTCTGGCTTGCCAGAGTGACAGGAGCTCACTCACCCCTTGGCCAGTGGCCAAATGGCATGGCTGGGTGGCTGCCAGTGTTTGCATTAACAGCTGCCAGCTTGTGGTTTGAGGTCACCCGTTCTTTCCAGTGTTTCATTTCCACTTATTTCATGCCTGTAATGACATGGAGCAGGCCACAGCCCCACCACCCCACCCTCCCTGCCCTCCTCTGCGAGGAGAACTTCTTTGGGTTTCCCTGGGGCCTGGACAGCATCATCATAGCACTGCATCCCCACTGAGCATCCCGGGATGCCAGGAGGGGACGTGCCAGCATCCCATCACCCCTTAGGGGCTCTTCTCCTCCTCGGGACATCACTCAGGGGACCAGACACATCGTCCCAGGGGACTAGAGTCATCCTCCTAGGCAAAAATAAACCCCAAGGCCAACGTGTGGAAGGTTCGTGCCAAGGCACAGCCCCTCACAAAATAATTCATAGCTGCCATCACTCCCTGCCAAGGGCTTTGGGAGGCTGTTTTATTAGCAGCTCGCTATGAATAAATCTCTCTTTTCGTAACATGACAGCCAGGAGTGGAACGCCCGGAGCCACACTTGGGATAGGGCGGGATGGGGGGGTCTCTCTGGCTCCCTGAATCCCCAGGGATGCTGGAGTGAGGTTTTTGCTCGAGGAGAAAGAGGAGGAACAGAAGAAGGAGGAGGAGGAGGAGGAGGAAAAGGGCGGTTGTGCCGGCAGCGACCGCCCTCGTCCCGCCCCACGGCAGCCGCCGGGCACCAGGTACCGGGCAGGCGGCGGCTGCGCGCATGGAGGCGGCGGCGGCCCCGGCCCCGGGCGGCGGCCCCGGTACCCTGTTGCTCTGCCTGGCACTGGCCTCCGGTAAGCGCGGGGCACCCGGCGCGGCGCGGCTCGGCTCGGGAGTCCCCTGCTCCGACACAGCCCCGGTGCTGCCCCTGTCCCATCCCGCTGTTTCCCGGTACCACGCTGGTCTTCCTCCACCCACCTCCCGGTCCCATCCTGGTGCCCCCTGTGCCTCTTCTGGTGCTATCCCATCCCGCTCCGCCCCCCCCCCCCCCCGGCCTGTTGATCCCCCCCTGTTCCCCTGCCCCATCCCGACGCTGCCCCTGTCCCAACCTCGTACCCATCCTGGCGCTTTTCCAGTCCCACCACAGTGACTCCCCGTGTTCCCCGGACAATCCCATCCCAGTCTTTCCCCCATGCCCAGTCCTGTCTCTGTGCTCCCCCGTGCTTCCCTGCACCCACCCCATGTGCCTCCATGTCCTGTGCTGGTAATCCTCACTGTCCCATCCCAGTGCTCCCCTGTATCAGCTTGGCTCTGGATCTCTGGAACCAGATCTCGGGGCCAGGATAGAGCAGGGATGCGCTGGGTGGATCCTGCAGTAGGGCTGAGATGCGACACTGCTCATGGTACACCCGTGGTTTGCCTCCTTGGCAGCGCCAGGGATGGGGGATGTGGGGGCTGCCGATACCTGTTCAGCCAGTGTACAAGTGTCCCGGTGGTAGTTCCCAAGTGCGTGGGAAGTGGGAAAAGCTGGCTGCAGCTGCCTGCTCAGGGCTGGCAGGAGATAACCACAGGCAGAGCTGAACATCGGCCGGGCTTGGCGATACCCGGGGCATCGGAGAGCTTTGGGTTTGGCCCTTTGGCAGAGCTGGGGCATGACAAAACCTGCCCAACCTGTGCTGGCAGGAGGAGCTTCAGGGTGGCCGACCTGTTCTGGGGCGGGGGTGCCCATCAGACCAAGGCGATGCCCCACGTGGTTGCTTTCCGGCAATTCGGGCTTTCCCAGGGGAATGTTGGGGGTGTTATGGCAAAATAGCCCTGTGTTTGGGATGCTTGTTCCTGGGTTATCTCTGACTGCCTCACACAGCAGAGACAGGCTCTCAGCATGTCACAGAGATGAGGTTGTTCGCACCCGCAAGGTGCTGAGCTCAGGGTACTGGGGGGCACCCCACACTCCCCGCTCCACCCCCACCCCCCGAGCTGGAGGTGCCATCGGGGCTGTCCTCTCCAAGGGGCTGCCAGCCCAAAGGGTGCCAAAATCTGCATCTGGTTGCAATAAGGGTGGGGATCTCGTCTTGGTGGGGATCTTTCCATGCTGAGCTGTAAACTCGGTCACTGGGGGTGAAGTCAGCCTCCCTCCCTGTGCTGCTGCCTGCTGGTTCCCAGGGGAGGGGGGCAAAACCACCCCATGGCTCAACCCTGGCTCCCATCAGGCAAATCCCACCCCACTGCCTGGTCCAAAAGGGGCTGCATCCCCTCCCCGATGGGATTCTTCAGCTGGAGAAGCCCTGGAAGAAGTTCAGCCCTGTCCTTATTGCAGCTCTGTTACTCAAAGTGTGTTGTTAGCTATATATAGCCAAGAGGGACACGTGTGCTGGGAACATCTCTGCCGTAGGATGGGGAGGGCACCAGAGCCTTGGCACCCTCTCCATTGCTGTCAGGGTACTGGGTAGGAACATGGGAACCAGGCTATGCAGCTGTCCAGGCTTGGTGCCCAAAGTCCCCCTTTCCAGGAGGCCTTGACGTGGCCAAGCTGCAAAGTGCACCCACTCAGAACAGGAACACCCAGCACCCTGCCCCACCAGGCAGGACCTGTCCCCACTCCACTGGGTGCCACCACAATGGGGTGAATCCCTGGGGAGGGCTGGGCTGGGAGCGGGACCGTGCTGAGTCAGTGCTGCTATGCCAGCGATCTGGTTACTGATCCGGTTACTGCCACTGCTGCCGGGACGTGCTGGGTCTGAGCCAGCCCTCAGTTTTGTCCCATTGCCAGAGCGAGCATGGTTACCCATTTTCCAGCTTGATCCATGCCCCAGTGCAGCAGTGAGTGATGTTGTGGTGGGAATTTAGCTGTTGGACACTGGAAGCGACTGGGCTTCGGTGGGTGCTGAACTGCAGTGTTCACGTCTCCCCACTCCCATGGCTGGTGTGCTTTTTAGAATCAGAGAATCCCAGACTGATTTGGGTTGGAAGGGACCTTAAAGTTCATCCCGTTCTAATCCCCTGCCATGGGTAGGGACACCTTCCACTAGACCAGGTTGCTCCAAGGTTGCTCCAAGCCCTGACCAACCTGGCCTTGAACACTGGCAGGGATGCAGCAGCCACAGCTTCTTTGGGTCACCTGTGCCAGTGCCTCACCAATCCTCACAGTAAAGAACTTCTTCCCTAGATCTAACCTGAACTTCCCCTGTTTCGGTTTAAACCCACCACCCCTTGTCCTATTCCTACAGTCACTGATGAAGAGTCCCTCTCCAGCATCCTTGCAGGCCCCCTTCAGATACTGGAAGGCTGCTACAAGGTCTCCATGCAGCCTTCTCTTCTCCAGGCTGAACAGCTCCAAGAAGACCATGGTCTTCAGAAAGGGAGCTGGACATCTCTGGGGATCCCCTCCCTTCCTCCTCCCTGTGCACTGGAGCTGCTGGCTGCCCACAGACTGTGCCGTGCCCCCTAAACCCCTCTCATCCCGCTCCAGGACGCTGGTGCTGAGTGAAGGAGGCAGGCAGGGACCAGCTTTCCCTTCTCCTCACCCTGGGGAACAGCCAAGCCAATGCTGCTGGGGAAGGGGGGTTCTTTGCCAGTCCCCTCCCTATGGCCAAGGCCAGGATGAGTGGCTGTGGTGGGTGGTGGTGGTGATGCTCTAGCCAAGCTTCACCACCTGACCCACTTCCATTGCCTTTCAGGTTTGGCTTTTTTTGGTTGTGTGGGTGCTGACACGAATGTCACCACTGACCATGGAACGGAGGGATCTACCTGTGGCACAGCCCGGAGCTGCATGGGTATGGTGCAAGGATGCTTAGGGGAGCTGGTGGCACCGGATGGGAGCTGAGCAATGCAGGGCAGAGGGCTGGGATGGAGGATGGATGTTGTATCAACCACAGCCACACAGGGAAGCAGCATGCCACAGCCAAGGACACACACTCCTGTGGCTCTGGATGGACCAGATGCCCTCTGAGGAGAACTGTAACCCCCGGGGGGGGGCGGTTTTCCTTGTCACCCCAGGGAATGTGACACAGCTGAGGCGGCAGGGACACTTCTCCAGGTGCCCGGAGGAATACAAGCACTACTGTGTCAAGGGGAGATGCCGATTCCTCATGGCCGAGAAGGCGCCAGCTTGTGTGTAAGCCACTGCTGCTGGGGACATGGAGAGAGGGAAGAGGAGGGCACCATGGTGGGGTTTTGGACACCAAATCCATCTTCTGCCTCCCCTGTGCCATGGGGTAGGTGTGAGAGGGGCTACACGGGGGCTCGCTGTGAGAGGGTGGACATCTTCTACCTGCGAGGCGACCGGGGCCAGATTGTCATCATCTCCCTGATTGCTGCCATCGTCACCCTTATCATCCTCATCGTCTGCGCCTGCCTCTGCAGTCAGTACGTGCTGGGGGGAACAGGGCGAGGCACGGGAAGAGGTTATGGGGAACGCTGCCCACCTCCAGTGGCTGCAGGAAGTTGGATTTAGGGGTCCCTGCTCTGGCCTCTGAGGGTGCTGGGGGGGATGCGAGGCATTGCCTTGGAGCTGGACACCATGCACGATCCCACCCAGAGCTTCTGTGGGTGAAAGTGGAGGGAGGAGGAGCAGCTAAACTGCCATGCCTCGTTTTCCTTTTGGGTTTTATTTTGGTTTTAATTATTCCGCCCCCATCAAAGCCACTGTCGGAAGCAGCGCAGAAAGAGAAAGGCGAACGAGATGGAGACGTTAAACAAGAATTTGCCTTCCAAAAGCGAGGACGTGCTGGAGACAGGCATTGCGTGAAGGTACATGGGGTTGGTGATGGCGACTGATCCCCGGATAACGGGAGGACCCCCACGAGGGGCAGCTGCTCTCCCTCCCCTCTCTCTGCAGGAGCTCCAGGTACCTGCAGGCGGGTCCCGGAGAGATAGCGGCACCGGCTGGCTCGAATGGCGACGGCTAAAACTAACGGCGGTGTTAATAAAGGGGTGAACGGGAAGGTGCCAATGTCTCGACTGATCCTTGCGTGGGAGCGCCGCCGGTTCCGGCTGTGGGTGCGGCGCTGCTGGTCCGAGGCCCGGCGGTGCAGCCCAACCCCTCTGCGTCCGCCAGGGGGCGCCGCAGTGAGGGGCAGCAGAGGCTGCAGAGCCTGCCCCACGGCCAGCAGGGGGCGCCGCCGCCGCGGAAGGAGGTCCCTGTGCCTGGGGCTGTGCCCATCTGCGAGCGCCGCGCTGGGGCTGCTGCCCCCCCGCCATGGATCCTCCCGGTGCTGCCGCCGCGGCCCCCTGCGGGCGGCGTCCGAGCCGGAGACCAGGACGAGGGAGTCGCTGTCCCGACCCCGCGGGGCTTCTCCGGGGAAGTTTCAGACACAGAGAACCGGGAGCGACACTGGCCCCCGCCTGCCCTGCGCGGCCTCGGCATCCCGGGACGTTGCCGAGCAAGGGAAGCCGGGGGAAAAAGGGGCAGAACCGGTGCTATTTCCTCGCTTCTTCCTCCGCTGCTGGGCTACGGTGCGGGTGCGGCGGCACCAGCCGCTGCCCGGTTACCACTGCTCGCAGCCCAGGCTTTGCGTGTTGGGATCCTGCCAGGAACCACGGCGGAAAGGGGCAGGTATAGGGGGTCGCGGCTGTCTGCACCGGCAGTCACTGGTGGCCGGAACCATCCATGGGTTCCCGGTGACTTCCGCGGGGGCCGCCGGTGACCCCTCCCGTTGCCGCGCTCCCTCCTCCCGGAGCGGGCACCGGCTGTTGCTTTTGCCCGGCTCTTCACCGTAGCGTCTCCGGCAGGACGAGCTTTCCCTCCCTCCGGCCGGCTCTGGCGAGAGCTCGGACTGCTGAGTGTGGGAGCTGCTGGGGCAAACTGGTTTACACTGCGGTTGCTCTGAGTGGAGCCGTGGTTTGACCTAAGCCCTTCTTTTTCAGCTCAAAAGAGGCTGCGGTGGGAGCAGAGGCCCAGAGCCCTGCACCGGCTTCTGGCGCCCCGTTGGTGGCTCTGTGAAGCCCGAGCGGGCACGGGGAGAGTGGGCCGCCCGGTGGTGCCGATCCCTCGGGAGCTGTCGTTGATCCGGGTGGTGCCGTGTGGGGAAAGCTCATCCTCACCGAGGAGCGCGGCCCGAGGGGTGAGGACACCTCGGTGGGGTGGGTGCCCCGATCCTGGGCGGTGGGATCGAGGAGATGGCTCCGGGGGAATCCCCGGGTGGCGCAGGAGGCACCGGGGTCCCCGTTCACGGTGTCTGGAGAGGTGGGAGCAGGCGCTGTCGGGGTCCGACCCAGACCCCCGGCACTGGGAGGTGCCGGTCCCCGTCTGAGGCTGCCGGGGTCGGTCTGTGCCGCTGTTGCCGCTCAGGGATGGAGGTTTTTCAGGCAGATCCTGGCACTCACCCGCCCTCCCGGAAAGAACCGGTACATTCCTGGGGTCCCAGCCCCGCTTCTCCCTCCCCGGCTGTCTCAGGGGTGTGGGGCCGGGCAGAGCTGCCGGGGTTGGCCGGGGAGCAGCCCCGGGACTCATTCAGGGGTGTGCTGCCAGGAGCTGACTGTGCCGTGTCTGTCCCTGCACAGGGATGGACGCATGGATGGGCAGAAGAGCCCCAGCCACGCCAGGAGCTGTGTGCTGAGACCGATGCTGCCGCCTGACCTGCCCTGTGCCCGCCCGTGGCAGTGCGAGTGCCTGGCTCCAGTGCGGGCACGGCCAGAGGCTGGGGGTTTGGGGTAGCTTTTGGGTACCTTCTGTGTATTTTTGGAAGCTTTTGGGTAGCTTTTCGTGGGTTTTGGGGTAGCTTTGGGCCGTCTGGGGTAATTTCAAGGGGGGTTGTGTGCTTGGAGTTCTGTGTGTTAAGTCCCTGTTTCTTTCAGGCTCAGCTCACTTACGGCTTGGGACAGTGTTTCTGCCAGCCTTTTTTTTTTCAGGCCCAGCCTCTGGATGGGTCCAGTTCCGCTGTGGCTGCAGCTCGTGTCCATCTCCAGCCTCTGCTGCTGCTTCAACCCGCTTGTGCTTGTAAGCTAAGTCTGGCTCATGGCCAGGTCGTAAATCAGTCACTGTCACGATATGTAGATGAATATGACCTGTCATAATTGCTTGCTCTCCAGCCCTCGGCTAACGAGCGCCCAGGACTCTTGCAGTGGTTGTACATGCCTTGAGTAAATAAGAGCTGAAGGCCCAGCCCAGCATGAAAAGTACCTTTCACCCCAGAGACTACCTCAGGCGCTAAATTCAGGTGAGTGCATACTGGGTGTTCCAGCATTCAGAGACCACCGTGATGGGACACCCCTTCTGGCTGGGATCCATGCACCAGCCTACCCTGCTCCCACAGCCCAACCCCATCCAGCCTGGCCCTGGCTTTGACCCCAGAACCACCCAAGAGGGTCTTGCTTCTGAGCCCAAAGGTGCAGAACTCAGGCCCTAGCCTATCCCCAGTTCTGCAGCTGGGAAATGCCATGTCTATGCTGCAGAGCCCCGGCCCCAGGTCCCGAGTACCAAAGCACCCTCCTGAGCCCCCAAACACCTGATGCTGAGCAGCAAAAGTCAGGACCTGCTCTGTGTTTCTGAGCTCCAGCATCAGCCTATGAGTCATGGCAAGACTTCCATACACAGGAGTTTTGTTTCTAAGCTCTGAACCTGTTTCTTGAGCAGCTAAACACAGAACTAGGGCTCTGTCTGAGCTCCAGAACGGATCACACGAGCCAGGTTCCGACACGTGAGGCTTGGTCTCCATTTCTGAACTAGTGACCCCGATTTCGAGCCCCCAAACCGCAGGACTCGGTGTCTGTTTCTGAACCCAAAACGGCCCCAGGAGCCGGTTGGCTTCCAGACTCCAACGCTCAGGACTTTGTCTCAGCTCCGAGCCCGGTTCCAGGCCAGGCTCAGCTCTCGCTCTCCTCTCCCCGAGCGTGTGCCGGAGCCCGGGGTGCCCTCCTCGGGGACCACAACCATGCCCTCGGGGAGCTTCAGGCGAACCCCAGAGCAGGTGTCCAGCCCCGCAGGGCTCGGCTCTCTCGGGGACTGGGGACCGGGTCCCGGACAGCCACCGGCAGCCACGTCCAGGGAACGCGGGGCTCGTTATGGATGCCCAGCACCGACCGGGGCCAGTCCCCGCTCTGCAGGGCTCTGCTAAGCCGCAGCCCCCACTGAGGCCCCAAACCGGGCGGCGCTCGGGAAGGGGTCGGGGAACCAGTGGCCGGCTCGGGCGAGAGCGCCGACACCGACCGGTCAGGCGCAGAACCGGCAGCCCCGAGAGCTGCACGTACGAAGATGGCGGTAGCACGGGTCAACCTTCGGGCCCCTGCGGACCCTGAGCGCCTGCGCGTGGCGTGGCTTGCCGGCTGAACGGCCTCTCGACCGCTGGGTCCTAGCGTCCGCCGCCCGGGGGCTCCCGGCTCTCAGCATCCCGGAGCTGTTGTGTGGTGGTGGGTTTTTTTACCTAATTTTCTCCAAAAAGGAGGTTTCTTCGGCCACTGAGCCCCTGCCGTTGTCTGTGCTTCAATAATCTCCCAGGTTTTCATTTAAAAAGGAAAAAACTCAAACCAAACCCACCACTCACCAAATGCCAGAAGATGCTGACTGCGAGGGTAAAGTCTCCGTCATTCAAACGGAGCAATTAACTGAATTAACTCCAGCTGATACTCCTGTAATTTGCCCGAGGCTCATCTGTAGCACAGCCAGAGGAAATCTCATTTGCTTCCCTTAGCAATAAACCTTGCAAATCGTTATTTGTTCATAGATAACTAAAGATACTGGTAATATACAGGCTTTTGCTTGGACTTGACCCCTTAAAGGACCAATATACTCTTTAAACACATGCTGATGGTGTTAGGATGGGGGGGGGGGATTTTCCTGCCTCCTGGGTGGAGACAACCTGGCAAAGGTTGGAGCTGCACACCTGGGCTGAGCACTAGGAGCCCCTTCCTTTGGCCACAACCTAGATTTTGGGGAATTTCTAACCTCAGAGATACTTTGATTTCATGCACACCATCTATTTCTCTCTCTCCTGGCCAGCTTTGCTTCAAGCTGCCTCAAAGCAGCTCAAGAGCCAGATCCACAATGAGGGCAGTGGATCTGAAGCCCCTTGGGTGCAGCAGGGGCTGTTGGATGCAGGATGCATCCCCGTCATCCCACATCCAACAGCGATGCCAATACACCCCTCCACAAGCATGCAGCGGAGGACAAGAACCCACCTGGGATACCCCAAGCACCCAGGTGGCGCTGCAGATGGTAGAGGAAGAACCCAGCCATGGGCAGCCTCCTCCTAAACCCTTGAGCGTGGCAGGAGACAGGCACCATAAACTGAAACACAGAGCCTTGCCAACATCACAGTATTTATTTTCTGCACCAGTCGTACAGACCCTTCTCCACACAACCGTCTGACAGTAAGGCATTCTTTACGACTCTTTAAGGTTTTCCCCAGCCCCCCGTGCCTGCTGCCTCAGCGCAGCGTCACCAGCTCTTCAGCAGAAGTGGGATGAATGGCAACGGTGTTGTCCAGGTCAGCCTTGGTGGCCCCCATTTTGATGGCCACAGCAAAGCCCTGCAGTATCTCATCACAGCCCAGCCCTTGCATGTGCAATCCCACCACCTATGGGGAAGAAGAGAGAGGCTGGATTGGACACAGCACTGGCAGACTGGTTTGGGTTGGAAGGGACCTTGAAGCTCATCCCGTTCCAGTCCCCTGCCATGGGCAGGAACACCTTCCACTAGGCTAGGCTGTTCCAAGCCCCGTCCACAGCCTTGAACACTGTTGGGTTCAAGGGCATGGGGACTTGAACCCAACGGGTAGCCATCGGACAAGCCTCAGCTTCTCTGGGGAACCTGAGCCAGGGCCTCACCATCCTCACAGGAAAGAACTTCCTAACATCTCATCTCAGTCTCCCCTCTGTCAGGTTAAAGCCATTCCCCTTGTCCTGTCCCTGCAGGTCCTTGTCCAAAGTCCCTCTCCAGGTTTCTTGTTGCCCCTTTAGGCATTTGGCGGCTGCTATAAGGTCTCCTTGGAGCTTTCTCTTCTCCATTCTGAACAAGCCCAGCTCTCTAAGCCTTCTCCAGAGCAGAGGTACCCCAACCCTCAGAGGATCTTTGTGGCCATCCATGAATCTAGTGTGAATGTTGGGCTTGATGCTGAGGGAGCTGTATCAGACCTGACCATGAGGGTACAAGAGGACCAGCTGTGGTCCTTTCCATCCCCATGCACTGCCCGGTTGTCCCCCAACGTCCCCTCCACACACCTTCTCCTCCTTGCCAGCGCACACCAGCTTCATGATGCACTTCACCTTCCTCTGGGTGACAGCGTGGTACAGGGGGTTGAAGGATGTACTGTAGATCTTCACATTCTCCCTCCCATATGCAGCCATGGCTTCATCTGCAGCAGAAGACACAACACATGGGTGAAGGGGCTGCGCCATATGTACGAGGTGCTTATAATGAGGGACTCAAAGCACATTTTGCAAGGCTCAGACCACTTGCTGGAGATCAGATTGTTTCCTTGAGCATCAAATCACCACCTCTGAGCCACAATGTACCCAGCCCCATTTGTCCCTACCTTCAGTGAGACCCACAGTGCCAATGGGTGGGTGGCTGAAGACAACAGTGGGGATGTAATGGTAGTCAAGCCGTGAGTCCTGCTTGCCCTCAAAGAGCCTGTGGGCCAGCTTTCTGCCAGCTGCAATGGCCACTGTGGGGAGGGATGAGGATGAGGAGCCTGACCTGTGGCACGAATGGGCCATGGAGGGGAAGGTGGCACAGCCATGGTACCTGGGGTGAGGAGAGCTCTCCCACACACATCCCCGATGGCATAGACCCCTCTCCTGGTGGTGTTCTGGTATTCATCCACCACCACATGGCCTTTGGCATCCATCTGCACACCCTGCCATTGGGAAACAGCAGCTGCTTTTGGCAAAGTGTGCTGAGTGGGATGGGACAAGCAATGTCCATGGGGGACTCATGCTGGTGGCCACAGTGCTACCAGCCGCAGGGAGATCATGGTGGGAATACCATCCTATGGCAGGCTCTGGAGACCCATGGGACCCCGGGGACCCGTGAGTCCCCAAAGACCTGAGGGGCATCCTTGAACCAGCGCTGCCATCTCACCACTCGGTCCAGGCACAGGTCCTGGGTGTTGGGTTCCCTCCCCACAGCCCACAGCAGGCAGTCCACGTCCTGAATCACTTCCTCCGTTGGCTTGTGGCCTGGCATTGAGGAGGTCACTGTCACAGCCAGCAGCCCAGAAGGGGACTTGGTGACCGTCTTGACCTGTGGGGAACAACAGGAGCCACAGGGGAAGAAGGTGGCAACAGCTTTTGCCTTATAGCAGGTGACAGTAGCCATAGCACAGAACCAGGGATGCCCCAAAATGCCAGCATTCCCCCATGCCTGCCTCCCCAGGAAGGATGGGGAAAGCGTGCCCATACCTGTGTGTGTTTCCAGACATCCACCCCGCTGTTCTCCAGCTCCTGAGTGCAGTTTGAGCTGATCATGGAGTCGAAAGTCCTCAGAACCTGGGCAGGGACCCATGAGATGAAGGCACCACCGGGCAGCCCCCTCCTTGGGCATTCCCCCATGCCCATGCCCCATCCAGGCCCAGAGAGGTTTGGAGCGTTAATGATCAAGTTCTCCTGTGTCTGCTTTTCCTTTAAGTTGTTGGGTTATTTTATTTTCAAGTCAGGGTTTGAAATAAAGCTCAAGTAAGCAGGTGTGGCAGCAGGAATGCCAGTCACAGGCTGGTGCTGCCAAGTTGCCTGGCAGCACACCTACACTCTGCTCCTCCTTACACCCATCGGCATCACACCACAATCCTCTGCACCACCATTCCCACTCTCCTAAGCCTGCCATGGCTCAGACCCTCCTTTAGAAGTCCATATGTGAGCAGACAAGAGGGAAACTCTGGTGAGGTGGGATGTGACTACGGGGCGCAAACATGGCTGGGGATAACCGGTGGCAGGCACTACCTTGTCCTGGCGGATCAGCAGGGATGACTTGGAGCCCAGCGTAGAGAGGATCCCCACGATTTCCACTGCAATGTAGCCGGCACCGACAATCACACTACGCCTGTAGAGAAGGGGTGATGCCGTGTGTGGGCATGTGGAGCTGCTGGTGATGGTGGTGGCGAAGTGGTGGTGGTAAAATGAGCACTGGTTTACCTGGGCAGCTCCTCCAGGTCAAAGAAGCCATCGCTGGTCATCCCCAGGCTGGCGCCTGCAAAACAGAGCCCCTTTCACACCCCTTCCCATCTTCCCCTCCCCAAAATCCCACTTTGCTTCGATAGGACTCTGTCAGACTCACCGGGAATTTGGCTGTCAGAAGGGACAGCCGGGTGCCCGCCTGTGGCTATAAGGATGTGAGGAGCTGTGTATCTTTTCCCATCCACTTCGATGGTAGGCTCAGGATCAGCGGTGAACTTGCCATAGCCCCGAATGATGTCAATGTGAGCCTTGGTGGAGTAAGAATCACAGAATCATAGAATGGTTTGGATTGGAAAGGACCTTAAGATCATCCAGTTCCAACCCCCTGCCATGGGCAGGGACACCTCACACTAGACCATATTGGCCAAGGCTCTGTCCAACCTGTCCTTGAACACTGCCAGGGATAGAGCATTCACTTCTGTGTGTGATTAACAGCGGGACAAGGTGCGAGAGCCAGCTAATGGAGCCGGGGGAAAGATGACACCCATTAAGGCTGGAAAAGTGGCTGAAAATCCAACAGATCCTACTTCCCTACTCAGCTTGCAGGACAAACACATCCTCACCTTCTTGAGGTTACTCTCATAGATCTCATTGAGGCGCCTCACGTAAGCATCACGCTTCTCTTTAATGGTTCTGGAAGAGAGCAGAGGCTTATTGCCACCATAAGCAAAGGAAGCTACAGAGCTCAGAGAGAAACAATTCATTCCCTTCAGTACATGGCACCCACACTACAAAATAAACCAGCCACCAGCTACCCAGCCTTCCCCACCAGGGTGGTTTTTGTGCCTGCCTTTGCTGCATCCATCTTTTCCAGAGTCTTTTCTCACCCCTTTTCCAAAATACAGCAGGAATCCAGGCTACATAACCAGCTTGGCATCCATCCACAGGAAGCCTCAAAGCAGCCAGAGACCCCTTTGTGGCAGACAACATACCACAGGGTTGAGGTGCTTCTCTGTGGCTGCTTCCCATGGGAATCGCACCAGGAGATGCTTGATTCCACCCGGCTCTTTCCATACTTACCTCCAGTTGAACTTGATGCTGGGCGTTTCAAAGCCATAGTCGGCGTGATCATGGACAAACTCCATGTGGACAGCCGCATTCCACATCACCTGCTCATGCAACCCGCAAGTCAGGATATGGGAAAACCCCAGCCACCCTTCCCAATGTTTTCCCTCTGCCCACAGCAGCCCACAGGACACGGATGTGAACATATCACAGCATCCTGATGGCTCAATACACCCTGAGCCCCTGCTTCCTCCCCACGATTCAGCAGACACCCACACCAAAGCCAGCAATGAAAGCACCCTTACCTTCTTTGGCACGCATCCGACATTGACCTAGAGGGGAGGTAAGAGCAAGTCTTGGCATTTTAAGGCTCAGTGTTTCAAAGGGGGTGCTCTGGAGAGAGCATCTCTCATCAGACCGGTATCGAATCCCAGCTCTGTGCTCAGAAAAAATATATTAGGGATGATAGGTCTTTGGCAAAAGAGGGTTATAAGTGCCTTCAGTGCCTCAAGGGCTTGCAATTTGCCTGTTTACCCTCACTTCCTTGAAGAATACGGAAGGCGCAGGGTGTTTAAGTGGGTTTTTTTCCATTGATAATTTAAAGAAGATTCACTAGGAGAAAGGGATTTGCCATTCCCTTCTTGTCCAGAAAACGTCTGTACAGCAACTCTTTGATAGGAAACACACTTAAAAGCGTAAAATTCAAGCCTGTCCCTGGCATTCCTGAGGAACAAGTTTGTTTTCTCTGCTCCCTGTGCCTGACACATCCTGCTTTGCTGCCGTTCAGCTGTAACCGAAATCAGAGTTGTGCTGTGCAGCTCCCGACTCACCAGCATCCATTTATCCTCCCCAGAACAGGCAGGAAGGGGGGGATTAGAACTAGATGATCAAAGGTCCTTTCCAACCCAAAGCATTCTATTATCACCCTCACACTTGAGAGTAGAATTGGACCCTTCCTGTTTCCATGCAACTCAGCATGACACGGCAAATCCTCCAGCAATGCTCCGTGGCTGGCATAGCGCTTTCTACGCTCTAGCTTCCCCAGCGGACCGGGATGAGTCCCAGGGATTATAGGGATGAGGCCGGGGGGATCCACTTGCTGCGTAACTCCTGTGTCCCCATCCACCGCTCATGATGGGAGCGTGTGAACCCCCCGCGAGTGGCCCCGGACTCACGCAAGTGCCGCCAAAGCGATGCGGCTCCACCAGTGCAACGCGGGCTCCCAGTTCGGCCGCTCGCCGAGCCCCTGCCAGGCCCCCCGACCCGCCGCCCAGCACCAGCAGCTCGTACGCGGCAGCCGCCATGCCCCCGACTCGGTAAGGCCGTGCCCCTCCGCTCTGCTCCGCCTTCTCGGTCCCGCCCCGTCCTAGCACGGCACCACGGGTTAGGGCTGACAATGGCAAGTTTATTGGTTCAGGTACAGCGAGGAGGGTTGCAAGCAGCTCAAAGACAGATGTAAGGTGGGGGTGAGAGGGATGGTAACAAAATAAAACAGCAGCAACAAAACAGGACAAAAAAAAAAAAAGGGGTGGGGTGGGGAGAGAGCAGGATAGACACCGAAAGGGAACAGAGCTTAAAAAGATATGGTTTTATCTGTTATGACAACGTACTCCCAGCAGGAATTGCTTCCTTTCTCCAGTTAAGTCAATGGGTCTTTCAGTAAAATAGTGTTGGGGGCAGAAGTTAGTATATGCATTTCCCTCGCAAATAAACTATAATTCATGCCAGTTAAACACTAGAACTAAAAATGTACAAAGAAGCCTTGAAGGAGATGAAGTGTTACCAGAGTTACCTTTTCCCCTCTGAACAGTCCAGAAGAAAAAACAATGACTACAAATACAGCAGGCAAACTGACTGTTGGGCTGATGGGGGTGGGATATACATAGTGTTGTAAGGAATTCAGTCTCAAGTTGTGCTAAACTCTCTTCATCCTCTGTATGGCACATTTTGGTCCATGATGGGGATTTTAAGTTGAGACGAACCCCGATTTCTTACAGAAACGTGTAAATATTGTTGCTCTTTAAAATGCCAGGTGTACTTCCTTCTACAAAGCTTAGGAGAGGTTTATAGGAAGTAGTCTGGGGTACGACGGGTCACATGAGGCTCTCCACGGCGAGGTGCTGGGTCAAACTGGAGGCTGCAGGAAAGAAAAGGGGATCATTTGCCCTCTGTCTACACAAGGGATTTTCGAATGCCACAATATACACTAGACTGGGTCTCCTGCTGCTATCACTTTACCCATCCCGGCTGCTTCCACATACGATGTTCCGGGTCCCCAGACAAACATCTGTGGGAATTACAACTTCAGCAGCCCAGCACTACTTGCACACGAGCTCAGGTGAATGCAGAATTCAGACTATCTCACCCACCTTTACAAAGCCTAGCGCTACCAAAAAGAAAAAAACATAAATCAGTCTTTGCACTCTCCATGAAGCTTGTGTGATGGAAGGATTAAGGAAATGCAGAAGCTCCAACTCTCCAGAGAGCCGGGAATGTGAGATACTGCAGTACCCAAACTTTTAAAAGCTTAACTCAATACTCATTAGATTTTCTTGCAGGTACAGCACACAATGTGAATTCCAGAGAGATCTGAGGTGGCTTTTCACAAAAGAAGCCCTTTGGAAAGGATCAGTCATTATTCACAACATAGAATGGTTAGGAACAAAGGACAGCCCGAGCCAGGTTACTCACAAGGAATACTTTAAAGTGTCATCTAGTTCCATAATAGCAGCCTGGTTCCCACAACGATAACAGTAATTGGGCGCACTGAAAATGGTAACCACGTTTCGGTCATGGCACCAGTTATAACCCTGCCAGGAAAGAAGAAAAAACAAAAAAGCATCTGTTAAACCTCAACCCATCTGAAGTTCCTCTTAAGATCTGAAATGATCCAAGGCATTTGTGAAACCGTAGAGTTCTTGTAAGTACTTCCAACTTTGCTTCCTTTTAGTAGTACTCTTACCACCAGAACAAGTGGGAGTTACGTAAAAGGAACAGCTCCAACCACTCCGCATAGGGATCAGCCATTCGTCACTGGTGCGTTTATCCATTCTGGACACAAATTACTGATTGTACCACAAATAAAACTCAAGATCTTTAGGTATGCCTTCAGCTTTCACCCACCACAAAGGGGAATGTGACTGCTGACACACAATACTACTTAAGAGATCTACCTGGAATAGGTTTTAAAAATACTACTGTTCCACTGACCCACCTGGCATTTTTACAGCATGACATATAAGAATAGCTTATCAACAGCCAAAATTATGGCTTAATTCCTGCCATGTCTGACTGCCAAGTATTAAAGGACAGCCTGTAAAGGAGCAGCAGTTTTAAGTAGAGCAGTCAGCATGTAAGTAGGTTATTACTCCCACAAACAAGGTGTGACAGGGTCCTTCTGGCAATATGCTTGGAGAATAAGAAGGTGGGAAAGGGCAGAACATTTCTTTATTTACATCACAAGTCAAAGCCCATCATTTTATGTTGCTTCTTGTTTCCACATGATTCACGTCTCTTTCATATTTGCCTGTGTAACACATTTAGGTGTCCACTTATGCCAACCCAGTGGAAGGTCTCACTGAGGAGATGAGAATCGGCATCTCCGTTTTGTTAGCCCCACGTAGCAAAGCATTTGCCCTACCTCCATGACAAGTTGGTGAGCACGGGAGACCAGTGTGAGACCATTGGCATGGTTAAATGTTTCAGAAATATCTTGCCCAAAGGTGTAGCCAGCACCACGTGGAGAGATACCCCAGCCGCCACGATCATCTGGATCCGACCATAACAGATCACACATCGGGCCCTTGAAAGAGGAAGTGTTCTTCATTAGATCACTAACAAGATTTTAGAAGTGTTTTTTCTAGAACAATATATTTTATTTACAGTAAGAAGATTGCCAGCAGGTCCTTCTCCATACAAGGTGTATGTGCTCATTTAACACATATTAATTACTCTCCGTACTTACTCAGTGTCTCAGTCAGCATCCCTCCACCCACCAAGGAATTAATACTGAGAAACGAATCCACGATACCAGAAATCTGTTCCCACCTCCTCTTCCATGTGCTCCTTTTACCACTTCACTTCAGTCAGAGATACAAAGACATTGAGAGCAGCTTCACATTCTAACTCCTGGCTTCCACAGTGTGGTAAGGAAAGCCACGTGGGAAGGTACGTAAATCCAAGGATGCACAGTGGGTTTGCTGGAGCCAGCCAAGTTGCAATAGATTCAAGAAAGGGAAATAACTCATAGGAGGTTGAACTATTCCAGAGACTGATGTTAACCCTTCAGCAGCTCTTCTGAAGGTATTAATAATTTAATTTCCTCTCTACACAGTCTATTGTTGGACTTGATATATTATATTAAATATATCTAACAGTCACAAACAGAAGTTCAGCTTTCCTTGCTGAACTACTAAGAAGCAGTAAAGACACTCTTGTATTAATCCAACCTGCTGCTGCTTCCTACCCACAGCTCTTGAGTCTTGTGGCAGGGATCACACTGACTCCATGTGGAGATCCTCAGGACAGCCAGATTTCAGCACAGATATGCAGCATAAGATTGGGAACACCCCAGAGCAACTATATCATCATTACACCTAACTACAGGCAGATGTCCCACCAGGTAGCCCACTCATTCTGGGAGTAATTCACACAGCTGATTATAGCTTGTGGAAAGCTTGGGCAGACTTTGCTGAATTGTTCTTGCTGTTATACCAAAGACATTGCAGGACAAGCAGCTCACTTTAATTATGGAACATTAAACTCTGTAAGCCCCAGCCACTCCAACACAGAAGACCAATTTGCTGCCCCTGGAGCTCAGAAGTTGGTTTCTTCAGTTGTGATCTCAGGCCCCCAGAACATGATGAACAAGGTGCGATACCATAGTGGAAAGGATTGGCTGGAGAGAAAGCATGTTGACACAACATGGCTTCACGTGGTAGCTGTCTGTTCACAAGCAAGTCTGTGGGTGAGGCTGAAGGTAGTAAAAACCTTCTGCTGTCAAATACTATTCTTCAAGTCAGCATGACAGTGAAAAAAATCGCATGATCCTGTGACAAACAGCTATGAAACTCCCATCTCTCTCCTTTTGTACACTGCTGTAATCAAAGCGTATTGACTTGTGTATGTCTAGCCCAAATGTATGTTCATCTGCTCCTAGCTCTTACGAAGACAATAACCCACTTTGTAACTCCATGTGTGTGTGCCTCTTGCAGATTAAACGGACTTCAAAGTGAGGCTACATTTGCATTTTCCACCAACAGATATCTAATTTTATGATCCATTTCCTTTCCTGTTACCTCATGTGGAACTTCCTGCAGGCGGTCCAGAGCCCTGATATGATCCAGTGTATCTATGGATGGAGAGAGGCCACCATGGAGACAGAAAATCTGTTTCAGAAAAAGAGAGCAACCCATTCAGTGCATAAATTTATGGGAAGGCTCAGAAATAGCTGGTTTTAACTGTTAGCATTCTTGTACAATTGCAGCCATCTCACCCTCACAGCAGAAAAAAACAAATTTAATTCCTGCAGAAGGAAACAAAACTGAAAGGGTGCACCTTGCATACAGAAATCAGGGGAACAACAAGGGAACAACAAAGACATTAATCCTTCAATTTTTGGAATACCTTGCCTCATGGCCACTACTCGGCTCACATCTGATATGACATGAGGGATCCCCACTTCCTGAGCAGTCAATTAAAATGATCCACACATGCAATACCCTGCTATTCCTTCAGCAGCAGAATCAAAAGCTTTCCCACACCACCAACTTACATTAAAACCTCACTAAATTCACCCCCAAACCCACAGTAAGTACATCGGCTTTGAAAAAACTCAGAACACAACCTAAGCGACCTTCTCTGAAACTGTCCACGCAGAGGTCAGACAATACAGTCTACACAACACCCCAAAAGAGAGCATTTTCCTTACTCAACATTTACTTACCTGGCCATCTACTAGAGCTGTAAGTGGAAGATAATCAAACAGATCTGTGAAGTACTTCCAGACGTTGGCATTGCCATACTTTCGCAGACATTCATCATAAAAGCCATACACTTGTGTGA